TTGCCTCCTGGCCTCAGCCACTTCTCCAGCCTCATCCCTCTGCCCTTTCACCTGGTGACCCAGCCAGATTTCACTGCGGTTCTCGGTGCTCTCGTCTGCGTCCCTGCTCTTCCCTGTGCTGGGAGCGCCCTGACACGCGGAGCCCTACAAGCCCGTCAGGCCTTTGCTCCGGTTGTCGTCTCTCCACAGCCCCCTGGCTGTCCTGCGCTGGGTTAGGTGTTCCTTCCTGCTTTCGGGGGCTCAGGTACTGCTCCTGGATGCACTTAAAAAGTTTTACTTGTGTTAAGAAACGCAGACTATTTGCCATGTTTAACCACTCTCAAATGCACCACGTAAGAGTGTGAAGTGCGTTCACATTGCCATGCGGCAGGTCTCCACCACTTGTGCATCTTGCCAAGCCCAGCCCTGTACCCCACTGAGCAGCTCCCCCCTTCCCCTCCCCCACCTGGTGCATTGTTTACTTCCGGTTACCGCACTCACCGCCCCATTAGACAGCGAACCCCTTGAGGGCAGGCAGGGTCTTTTCTTAAAGATTTTGTTTACTTACTCTTAGAGAGATGGGAAGGAAGTGAGAAAGAGAGGGAGAGAAACATGCAAGAGATACTTCCATAGGTTGCCTGTCCCACGCCCCCAACTGGGGACCTGGCCCCCAACCCAGGAACATGCCCTGACTGGGAATTGAACCAGTGACCTTTCAACTCACAGGCAGGGGCTCAGTCCATTGAGTCATGCCAGCCAGGGCAAGGCAGGGTCTTGTTTACATCTCCAGTCCCTAGCAGGTCACCGGGCCCGTGTATGAATTTATTTATTCAACAAATCTTTACTGCCCCTGGTGCTGTGGCACTGTCCTGGGCACTGAAGAGCAACTAGGGGACAGAAGTCCCTGTGCTAGTGGATTTTAGATTCCAGCTGGGGGGGGGGGGACAGATGAAATAAAATGTGGAAGCTGTTAGATGGTAATAAATGCCATGTGGAAAGCACAGTAGGAGGAGAAGGTTGAGGGTGCAGGGGGTGACAGTTTCCATTTTGAGTAGAAGGGAGGAGACATTCTCACTAAAGTGCTGACGGCTGACGTCCCTTTGATGAAAGCCCTGAAAGGAGGGGAGCCCCCTGGCCCTCTGGGGAAAAGAGCACTCCAGGCTGAGGGAGCCCGAGGTGCCGAATCTCCCCCCGCCCCCCTGCCCCCCAGGCAGGAGCCTGCCCGGTGTTTCCTACTTGGGGCACTGCAAGGCGGTCAGTGTGGCTGGAGTAAGGTGAGCGAAGAGAAGGAATGGGTCCCGAAACGGAATACCGAGGTGTGGGCTGGGGCAGAGCCTGCAGGCTCCTAGAGCCCTGTGTGAGAGGCTTGGGGGGCTTGGGGCGGAGGCGTGGCACAGCCTGACTTCGGTTTTGACAGGACCAGCCTGGGTACTGTGCTGCCACAGACTACGGGGGCGGGTGGTGAACGGTGGATGGCCCCCTTTCATATAGGCCTTGCTGCCCAGCTGTGTGGAGTCCAGCCAGCTGACAGTCTCCTGCTATTAATGGTAGGGGAACTCAAAAGTTAAAGAGTTTAAGCCTTGGTTGATAGGCTTAAGTGTATAATGCACGTGGAAGGCTGTTGTTCCAGGAACTGGAATGCACGAATACCTTCCAGAAGGTACAAGCAATTCAGCCGTTGTGCCCCAGGGGGTCTGCATGCCATTCAGACGGTATCTGAGCCATTGTGTTCCAGGGAAGGAATGCCAGTGATGCAGATAAACGGTTGTTGATTGTGGATCAACAAGTAAAGAAGTACTAGGAAAATCACCTCTAGACTGAAACTCTAATCCAATCAACCCAGACTCCTTATCTACCCTTTCTTCTTATAAGGTTGGCTTGAAATGACACATTCAGACGGTTTATGAAGGTACATAACCTGCTGTCTTCTCAGATCGCCAGCCATCTGAATAGAGCGCCCATAAACGTTCAATCCTTGTCTCTTCTCACTGGTTCTGGTGGTGACAGGCAGCACGAACACCGACTTCTCCCATTTCATTAACATGTTCAGGTCTGCTTCAGCGGTCCAGGTGGCCAGGCTCTGCTTGGGGTGGCCCCAGGAAATGAGTGAGCCCAACCGTTTCCGCTGAATGCAGACTTCAAGAGACCATCTTGGTCCAGACACAGAGCTCCCTGCCACAGGTCTTGTTGTCTGTCTACTTTGTCCCCTTTCCATTCACGGGTCTTACTCCCCAGAACATCCTTCGTGCTCCTTACTCACCCTTCGTGTCTGCTTCCCAGGGAGGCAGCAGGGAGACTGTGGCAGTGATCCAGGGGAGGGATGATGGGGGAGTCTTTGTCAGCTTGGGCTGTAGAAACAGAGTGCTACAGACTGAGGGGCTTAAAAAACAGAAAGAGATTCTCGCCGTTCTGGAGGCTGGAAGAATGAGATCAGGGTGCCTACATGGTTGGGTTCTTGGTGACTGCCCTCTTCCTGGTTTACACAGGACTGTCTTCATAACCTGTCCTCACGTGGTGGAGAGGGAAAGATCATCCTCCTATCTTTCTCTCTTTAAAAAAAATTTTTTTATGGGGAAAGAAGGGAGAAAGAGAGGGAAAGAAATATCAATGTGTGAAAGAAATATCAGTTGGTTGCCTCTTGCACACCCCCCAAACAGGGACCTGGCTCACAACCCAGGCATGTGCCCTGACTGGGAATTGAACTGGTAACCTTTTGGTTCACAGGTAGGAGCTTAATCCACTGAGCCACACTAGCCAGGGCTCATGCTCATTCTCACATAAGGGCACTGATCCCATTCATGAGAGCTCCACCCTCATGACCTAATCACCTCCCAAAGGTGCTACCTCCTAATACCAACACATTGAGGGTCAGGATTTCAACATGAATTTTGGGGGAACACAAACATTTAGTTCATAATGAGTCTTGGACCACGGTGATGAATACAAAACAACCTCCTGTTTACCTAGGGCTGCAGGGTGGCTGTTACATCGTGCAGCAGGTGTAGACTTGAGGGTTGTGTATATGACGTTGAAATCTATCATAGGCACAATTGAAGGAAGCTTGCAAGTGAATTTTCATGTAATAGGGGAGGAGGAAATAGAGGTGTGTACCCTGAGCAGAGAAGGCCAAGGGTCCATGAGTGCTATCTTGTGGTGACAGTGATGTATGCTGGGGACTCTGGGTGATGAATATTAGCCCAGCACTTACTGGATGAGAATAGTAAGCTGTGATGCTCAAAGTAGCTCTCAGGCCAAAGGCAGGCCATCCAGGGCTGGAACACCCTCACCCATGGTCCTGGCCTGCAGCCTGGAGAAGCAGGGTCAGGCTGGAAGCTCAGTCCAGGCTGGGATAGCCAATGATGTTCTCTGCTCTGATTGCTAAGCCACCTTGGCCAGACAGCTGAAATGTCCTGGGAGGTGCTGGAATGCATGGTGGCAAGTGGGTAGAGATCACCTGTCCCTGCGATCTTTGCAACCATCAGTTCAAGCTGGGCCTGAGGTACCACAGGGCCTGGGCCGCAGGCAGACTTTCCTAGGCATGGTTGAACCTGGATATTTACTTAATATGTTAGCTCTGCACTCATGTTTTACCAACAGCATCTCCTTTTATTGCTACAACAGTTCTAGGTTCTGTCCTGATTGCTGGCATAGACATGTTCCCTTTGCCCCTCAGCTCCACGCTTCCCCCTCCTCCACCGGCTCTGTGCCCCGGGAGGCTGACCACCTCAATACGTGCCCTTATCCTCTGGCTTCCAGTTGGGTTGGATCCCCGGGACCCACCAGCCTGTGAGCAGAGTGAAGTTGGGGTATTTATTTGGTCGCAGCCCACAGCTCCTGTGTGGCAATCCTGTCCACTGCTACCCTGGAACCAGCCCCAGGATACTGCAGGCACCCGTCGTGGATTTTCTCAACCAAGCCCAGACCTTGGAAAACAGCCCCCACCCCAGAAACTCTTTCGAGTTATTTGGTTTGAATGCAGCACTTGTTTCCTGCCAGGACCCTGATTGATAAGGCCCCCATTGTGCTGGTGACAAGACTAAGGTTCTGAGAGCTTGTCAGGCTGAAGCATGCTGAAGCTGTGATTGTGATGTGGTTGCGCTATGGTTCAGACCTGGGGGGTGGGTGTCTGCCCAACCCTGGGCCCTTGAACATGGCTGGCATACTCATCTCACTGATGGCCACCCTGGAGAGCGAAGGCGAGCCGCAGCCTGTTCTCTCCGCACGGTGACCCGACCTCTCCCTGCCTGCACTGGCTCTTGGCTGACTGCCTCCCGGATCTCTGGCTCCTGGCCTCGGCTTTTACAGTCACGGAACGTTCCTCTAGGTCAGTACAGACTTTGCACCTCTTTTCCTTCGTGTTCAGGTCTGGATGTCGATGTTGGTGTCCCCTAAAGTTCAGGGCGTCAGCACTGGGGGCAGGGCTGTGAGCTGCCCCAGAGGGCTGTGAATGCAGATGAGTGCGCTTCCAGCTGCCCCAGGCTCTCTGGGCTCCTCTCGCACTCCCTGCGCAGCCCCAGCATCCTGCCAGGGGCCAGTGTGGAAAAAATACTCAGGAAAAATGAAAAGAGCTGAATAATGCTTGGGTGAGGCTGGGACCACATGCCTTCAGAGAAGACAGCTGGCCTGTTGGGAGAGTGTCCAAGGAGTGAGAGTATGACTAACGGGTTTTGTGTACACAAGGTGGGAATGCGGTTGTAATGACAGTGACTGGGTTATGCTGGAGCAGGGACTGTGATTTGTCTGTAATGAGAAGGCAGTGATTGTGTGTGTGCCAGGACAGTCTCCCTCCAAATAGCTAGAGGCCTGGTTGTAGTGGGAACATGGCGCCCTCTTGTGCCCACATGTCCAATTACAGTAGGTTCCACCCCAGCTCCCCGCTGTCAATCCCAGCCCCAATCTACCTTCAGCCGGTGCCCTGGCTTCCCCCCAGCTCAGAGGGCCACCTTTCCTGCCCTCAGGGTCTTGTGGGTGGGGCTGTAGGAGAACAGAGGACGGAGCCCACCTGTATAAAACATGGCCTTTATTGATTTCAAGGAAACTGCCACGGGGATGTTCCCATCAGGACATCCACCCGAGTCCCACGGAGCAGGCTCTGAAAGGCTGGCGCCAGATTGAGTACATTTGTGGAGAAAGATGGCAGCAAAGCTTCCTGAGGCTGAGAGAGTGGAGTCTGGGGGAGGGGACTTTCTCTGAGAGCAGTGGTGACTCAGAGGATCCCTGGGTGCCTCAAGGAGCGGTTGGTATCACCAGAGCCTCTTCCTCCTCTTCCCAAATCCGTTCTCAGAACTCCAGACCTCCTGCTGCTGGCAGAGTTCTTCCTCTGCACCGCAGGGATCTGAGTGCTTCTTCAGAGGGAAGGAAGATTCTTTTTGGTCTGGTGCATGCAGCTCAGGGGAAGCATCTTCCTTCTTGTGACCTCCAGACCTCTGCACCTGCCATTCTCTCTTCTTGGAAGCACCTCGCACCCCTTGAACGTTACTGCCCCAGGGAAGCCTGGCCTGATCACCCCCTCCTGGGGTAGGTGGAAGCCATGCCATGAGCGCCCTAAGCATCCCCTTGCGCAGTAGTTAATATACTTGTTGCAAGCATATTCAATGTCTGTCTCCCCCCGAGGGCAGGCACTGGGCCTGTGGTGTGACCTGTACTCAGGTATTCAGCACAGTGCCCAGTGCTTAAAAAGTATCTGCCTACAAGAAAATTGGATAGCTTGGTGAATTCAGAGTGGGGGCATCCAGCACTCGTTGGACCCCTCCATGGGTGTGGTACCTCCTGACCTGTCCCATTGGCAGACCTAGTATTACTTCCCAGCCTGTGGTCAGATGGGGGTCAGGGTGGGTGCTGAAGCATGCAGCCTATCGCTGTGGGGGTGCGGGACAAGCTCCCCAGCCTCCACCAGCTTCCCGTGGCAGCGGCAGGTGGAGGCCCGGCTGGCCGAGGATCTGGGGTTGCGGCCGCCTGGGGGCCTGTTCTTGCGCATGCCTCTGAGGACCCTGTGGAAGATCAGGTAAAAGATCTCGCTGATGGTGAGCACGATGCAGATGGCAGAGGCGCCCACCATAAAGAAGGTAAAGACCTTCTTCTCTGTGGGCCGGGCAATGTAGCAGTCCACGGTGTTGGGGCAGGGTGACACGGAGCACTGCACCAGGCGCGGTATGCTGAAGCCATACCAGAGAGTGTGCAGCAGGTAGAGGAAGAGGAATTCGATGGTGAGCTTGAAGACGAGGCTGAGCAGGTAGGTCCACCACAGCCCGCCGTGCTTCTTGCCTGCATTGTCGTACAGTTTGGTGCACTGGTCCCCGTACTTCTGGCGGTGCCGCCGCTCCCGCTCCTCGCGGTAGGCCACGTGCAGGATGACCAGCAGCGAGGGGCAGGTGACGAAGATGAGCTGCAGGGCCCAGAGGCGGATGTTGGAGATGGGGAAGAAGTGGTCATAGCAGACGTTGGAGCAACCCGGCTGCTTGGTGTTGCAGTCGAAGTCCTTCTGTTCATCCCCCCACACGCGCTCTGCGGCCACCACGTACACCAGCACGCGGAAGACGAACACCACCGACAGCCAGATGCGCCCGAACGCTGTGGAGTACTTGTTCACGCCGCTCAGCAGGTTCTGCAGTGTCTTCCAGTCCATGGTGCCGGGCGGGGGTGCCGGCGGCCTGGTGCCTGGTAGGGGCGCTGGGAGCTGTGCTCGACTGATGGAATAATAGAAAAAACCATGTTAAGCTTTTACTATGTACAAGGCACTGTTCTAAGCTTTTTATGTGGGTAGACTCATTTGGTCATTGCAAAGCCCTTATGAGATCAGAAATATTTTCCTTCCTAAAGTACAGATAAATAGGCAGAGACAGTAGGTGACCTGCCCAAAGTCACAGGGCTAGTGTACCAGGGGGAAGGGAATGTGCACTTGCTGATAGCAACAGTTACCATTTATTATTTACAATGAGCCAAGCACAGAGCTACACGCTATGTGCAGGATTTAATTTAATCCTTAAAATGACCCCATGAGGTAGATACTATTATACTCCTCATTTACAGATGGAGATAGGTTGCAAAAACACTTAGTACATAGTAAGTGCTCAGTAAATGCTGGCCACTTGTGGAACGCAGACAGGTCAAAGCACTCAGTTAAAACTAGAATTGGATGCCCTGGCCAAGTTGCTCAGTTGGTTAGAGCATTGTCCTGATACACTGAGGTTGTCGGTTCAATCCCCGGTCAGGGCACACACACACAAGAATCAACCAGTGAATTCATAAATATGTGTAACAACAAATTGATGTTTCTCTCTCTTTCTTTCAAATCATTCAATAAAAACAAATTTAAAAAACCCCTAGAGTTTGATTCAAGGCTGGACTGTGGGTGCCTGGGCTGTGCTGTCTACCACCTTCTCCCCCCTTCTCTGCTAGAAGCCTGCCTCAGTCCCGCTTCTTGTAACTTACCTTGCTGATGCCTCGCTACCGTCCTGTGAGGCTGGGGTTGACTCTTATTTTCCAGAGAGGACACTGAGGCTGGGAGAGGGGAAATAACCTCTCCAAGGCCTCACAGCCAGCAGGTGGTGAAGTTGGGAGCCCAGTTCATGTTGCGGGGCGGGGGGGGGGGGTGTGAAGGTGAGTAATGGCCTAGCTCTGGGGGAATACCAGATCCAAAGAAAGAGCTAGGTAGAGCTCCCTGCTCCCTGTGCCAGGCCCCAGGGGAGCCCAGCTGCCCCGGCCGTGCTGGATGCCAGGGCTTTGTGGTGCGGAAACATGCTTCGTTCACGCCTCCAGATCACACATCTTCCTCATCCCTGGAGTGACTCAGAGGGTGTGGATGGGTGGGTCTGCCTGAGAGCACCTCATGTCTGGGTGCTGCCATGGGTGTGACTGCATGTGGCCCTCTGTGTGTCTGTGTGGGTCTGCATGCACACACAAGAGCTCCTGGAGCTGGGTCTGTGACTCTGAACATGCTTGGTGTCTGCTGGTCCACCCCCTGCCCAGCTGCTGCTCACCCCTCCACTGCCACTAGCCTGGTCCAGGCCACTATCAACCCTTGCTGGTGTAATTGCCATGGATTCGTCACTGGCCTTTCACTGTGGCTCCTGCACCCCGAGAGCCCACGAAATTGGATCCTGTTACTCCCCTGTGTAAAACTCTCTACCAGCTTCTCATTACATGTAGATGCCCCCAGAGTCTACATTCCCACCCTTCTCTCCTACACTCCCACCCTGCCCGTCTCCACTGCAGCCACCCTGGGGACCTCGAGAGCTTTGCCCACTGCCTGGAATGCTCTTCCTCCAGAACCTTGCATGGCTGGATCCTTCCCATCATGGAGGCCTCTGCTCAAGCATCTCCTTAGAGCAGTGATTTTCAACCTTTTCACCTCACAGCACAGGTAAACTAATTACTAGAATTCTGCAGCACACCAAAATATATATTATATATTTTGGCAATCTGACCAAAAATAGGTATAATTTTGATTCAATCACACCGGATAGCTAGTGTTATGTTGACTGTCGTCATTTCTTATTTGACAATCTGAGGGAAAAAGGTCAGTGCCCCAGACTAACCAGCCAGGTATTGCATGTTTTAAAAACTCTCGTGGCACACTGGTTGGAAATCGCTGCCTCAGAGGCCTCCCCAGGAAACCCTGAGTCTGGGAGGCCATTCCCTCCCAGTCACTCTGCTCCTGCCTGCTTTATTTGCTTTATAGCATTTACTCACCACTCGAAGTGAAAGTATTTACATTTTTAAAGTTATTTATTGCATTGTCTCCCACACTAGAGTGCCAGCTCTGTTTTGCTCACTGCTCCATTAGCTCCTAGTGCGGGACCCGTAGTAGATACTCAGTAAGTGTTGAAGGAGCAAACTTGAATGACTGCTGAATTGTCAGGGAGGCCCTTGGAGGGAGGGGCTGAGCAGCAGCCGAACAGCGGCCAGGAGCCCTGAGGGGCAGTCTGGACCAGGTGGCTTGGGGGAAAGACTTCCCTTTGCTGGAGACAAGGCGCAGTTCCCTCCCTGCACTTCAGCCCCCCTGACGCCTCTTCTCTGGGGAATCTCGGACAGGGTGGGGTGACTGCGGAAGGCCCCATCCCTGGACACCCTCCTGGTCTCTCCTTCTGACATCTCTGGCCTCCGGGGAGCGGCAGTGGGGTGTGCGTGGAGTGTGGGGTCGCCTCAGCTCTGCCCCTTACTGCGGGGTGACTCCCAAGGATTCCCAAACCTCCCTGACTCCATGCCTGTATCTCTAAAAGGAAACAGGTCCTGCTTTCTGGGGCTGTTGTCAGAAGCATGAGACCAGCTGCTCCCCAGCCTGCCACTCACCCGGACGAAGCAGGAGGAAACTGAGGCAGAGGTCGGAGGTGGGAGCCCTGCGCGCAAGCCCTGGAGGAGAGGGAGGCTGCCACGTGCTTCCACTTGACCCCCTGCCCAGGGCAGCCCACACGGCGCAGCCCCCACACTCCGCCCCCCCCGCCCCCCCCTCCCGCGTCCTGTCTGCCCAGTCCTGCCTGACACACCCCAGGGGCGGACTCACCCGCAAAGAATTCCCCTCCGAGCCCGGCCCGGGACAGGTGGAGCCGGTTCTGGTTCCCCACCGCCCGCGGCCCCCCAATACCAGCTTCCCGCTTCCCGTTTCCCCCCAGCGCCTGGACGGAGCGGCTCCCAGCGTTTGTGCCCACGCTGTCACGCCGGCGCCCCCCACCACCCCGAGGACACTGCACGGTGGACCGTCGTGGCGGGCAGGGGCGCCAACCCCGCGCAGTGGGAAATCCGCGTATAACTGGAGTTGGTCCTTCGCTTTCATGGACTTCCAACAAAACCTAAAACATTACACTTTCTCCCTCCGGCGACCCGCCTCCCCTCCCGCATTTTTTTTCTGTCATTTTAGGCAGCTGGGGAGTCTGCAGGCATAGGAGGGGTGTCTGGGAACCTCCCGGCAGCTGGAGCCCCCACTCCGGCCCGGAATCGAGGGGCGCGAAGGCAGCGGGGAGGATGCGGCGGGGAGGTCCCCCCATCACCTCGCTCCCCCGCGCCCCCATCCGCAGCTGGCGGGGCGGGCAGGGTCGGGCAGCCGCTGGCTGGTCGCGCGGGCGCTCAGCATCCAGGGGGCGGAGTGGGGGGGGGGCGCTCACACGAGGCACTTACCCACGGCAGCGTGGCCCGCGCGGGCCGGAACCCCACGTCCTCGAGGCCCGCAGCAGAGGCTCCGCAGTGGCGAGGAGGCGCTGGAGGAGGCAGGCACACCCTAGGGACGGTGGAGGAGGGAGGGTCGGGGGAGGAGCCCGGCACCTGCGGGCCTGAGAGGGTCAGGTTCTAGCCCCCACGCAGCTGCGGTTCCTGGGGCAACCTGGGCAGGAGGGAGCCCTGGCTTTTTCTTGTGAGCAGGGGCATCGGTGGCCATGGGCAGGGCTGTTGCAAAGTCTCCAATGAGATTAGGGGCGTGAAGCACTGTAAACCGTCCAGTGCCGTGGCTGGGGACGGGCTGCATTCACGACTCACCCACGCGCTGAGACTGCGCCCACGCCCTGCAGGTCACCATCCGTGCCCGGCCCCCGACCCCGCGAGGGGGCACCCTTGGGGACCTGCCTTGCCAGCGCGACGGGTCCTCCACGGCCTCCTGCTGTCTCAGGCTGTGTCCTCCTCGGAGGCAGCACGTGCACCTTGGAGAACCCCGGTGGGAAGGGGCGAAGGGAATCCTGCCGTTGCGTGGAGCTCCTGCAATGGGCAAATCCTGTGGGAGGAGGGTGCGGTGGGTGGGTGCCCCTGCCGAGGGAGGCAGGCCTGCACCTGGCTGGGCCCTGCGGACTGGGACGCTTTGTTTCGTTTACTAGCTTGCCCCGGTTAGGAAACTGAGAGCCCCTGGAGCCGCAGCCTTGCGGGAGGAAACCCAGAGTCCCTGGGCTCCCTGAGGAGTCCGGGCACCTTAGTCAGGCAGGGCTTCGGCGCTCGCAGGCTCCGCAGCGATGCTGTTGCCGGCACAAGAGTGACTCATTTTCCCCAGGACTGCTCACCAGCGCCTGTGGCTCTGGTGTAACTAACGGCACACCCCTTTATTCTCAAAAGTGCCCCCAAAGATTAATTACACCGTCACCCTACTCGTTGTGATAGAGCAGCGATTTTCGACCTGTGTACCCACAAGAATTTTTAAAACATGTGATACCTGACTAGTTAGTCGCAGGCACTGATCTTAGACTAATGCCTTAGACTGTCAATAAAAAAAAAAAAAAAGACAATAACCAACACAACAATAGCTGTCCAGTGTTAGTGAATCAAAATCATACCTATTTTTGTCAGATCGGCAAATATATATGTGTATATATATATATTTTGGTGTGCTGTGGCATTCTAGTAACTAGTTTATGTGTGCCGTGGGATGGAAAAGGTTGAGAGTCGCTGTGACAGAGAACTAACACAGCGTCGGGAGCTCTGACACATCTTCGTGCCAGGCCATGTCCCACGGGCTTTATTTCATCTTCATAGTGCCAGATGATGATGGTGTGATCCTTCCCACTTTTATAAATGAGAAAACTGAGGCTCAGAGAGGTCAGGTGACTTGCCCAGGGTCACACAGATGATCAGAGCAGAGCCAGCTCTGGAGGCTTCTGCGCTCACTAGGTCATGGCCTTGAAAATCATCCTGAGACTCAGCAGTGCTGGGTGGTCCAGGTGGTTCTGTGCTCACGCAGGTGTGGGCACATGCGTATGACGGGGTCCCTGACTCCACCACCTGCTCCCAACCACCTGCTGCTCCGCTGCATTTCAGAGCAAAGCCAGATCCCCACTTCCTTACCTCCCGGCCATGCTTCAGCCCATGTGAACAATGTTTCTGTTCCTACCCTGTCACTAAAGACGACCCCATCAAGGTCACCATGGATCTCCATGATGATAAATCTAATTGTCACCTCTGCACTCCTGTCCTCCTGGGCTTTTAGAAGCACCTGCACAGCTGACCACCCCTTGCTTCTCAAGACACCTTCTTCCTTTGGCTTCCTTGATACCATATATTCTGTTTCCTTGTACTGTGGAGGCCTGCCATCCTGGTCTTGTGTGGGCACGTCCCAGGGCTCAGCCACCTGTCTCCTGGGTCAGCTCACCCAGTCCCGGGGCTTCTGATACTGACCATTCAGTGATGGACCCTACATTTGTAGCACGACTCCTGACTTCTCCCCAAGCTCCAGACTATGTAGCCAGGGCTGCCCCTCGGCCTCGAGGTTTCCAGTTACTTGTTTTTCCTTCCTGAGATCAACTGTGCATCTCTGACTACAAAGACATTCTCCTTCACACATTTACCTGGTGGAGGTATGCTGTGCACGCATGCTGTACTTCACTGTGTTTGTTTAACAAAGTGTAGCGCATTGTTCTCAGTAGCTAGTGAAGTAGCTCATTCTTTTTTTTAAAGAGCTGAATAGTATTCCATTTTCCCTTATCGGTAGAGGTAGAGCTGCCTAAAAACAAAACAAAACAAAACAAAACAAAACGGCCTCTCCAAAACCAGAAACAACCACCACCACCACCAAAACACCAGCTGAATAGAGTAAGTACCATGATATATGCAATCAATTCTATGGTAACAAAAAGTACGGCTGTTTCCAATCCTGTATTTACTTCTATTATAAAAACATTTTCAATAAATATCCTTGGACAAAGCATGATGATCACATTTTTTATTATGTCCATTAGATGTATTTCTAGAAGTGGAAATTTTTAGTTAAAGTTGTAGACTCATTTAAAATTTCGTTAAATATTGTTAACTCCCTTCCACAGATGTATCGGTTTACTCTGCCAGTAGACACGAGAGGGCTTGTTTTCTCATATTCTTGCCAATATAGAACATTATAAAACTGAACGATCCTTGCCAGTGGTATCTCATTACAGTTTCCATTTGCATTTCTCCTGAGTGAGAATGAGCATCTTTTCATACACTTAAAAGCCTGTGTTTCTCTTCCTGTGAACTGTCCTTTGCCTTTGCTCATTTTTCAATCAGATGATTGACTTTTTTATCATTTATTTCTTAGGAACTCTTTTTTTAAAAGATTTTATTTATTTATTTTTAGAGAGGGAAGGGAGGGAGATAGAAAGAGAGAGAGAAACATCAATGTGCGGTTGCTGGGGGTTATGGCCTGCAACCCAGGCATGTGCCCTGACTGGGAATCGAACCTGCGACATTTTGGTTGGCAGCCCGTGCTCAATCCACTGAGCTACACCAGCCAGGGCTAGGAACTCTTTACATATTAAAGAAATAAGCCTTCTGTCAGTGGTACAAATAGAAAGGATTCTCCTCTCCCAGTTTGACACTTGTATTTTGACGTATAGAATTAAACTTTTTTTGATATAGTCAAATGTATCAATCTTATCTTTTATGGTTTCTTGGTTTGCTCATAACTAGAAATGCCTTCCCCACTCAGAGAACTAAAAACATTTCTTTCTCCCATGGTTTCTTCTAGCTAAGTGGTGCTTCAACAATAAAAGCCAGACCATGCCGTGCCCCTATTAAAACCTTGTGGTAACTTACCATTACCTTATACTAACACCCACTCTCCTGACACTGGTGTGCAAAGCCCCAAGTAGCCTGATCCTGCCTCGCCTCCTACCCCATGTCCCCTTGATCTCTGCTCACCGGTCACACTAGCCTTGGTACAGTCCAGCCTCTGGCCTTTGCATTTGCTGTTCCCTCCACCTGACCTGCTCTTCACCTGGCAGGCTCCTCCCCCTCCTCACCAAGGTCTCAGCTTCTTGTAGAGGATTGGCTGGTCACCCCCTCTGAAGCTATCTCACCCCACTTCTCAGCAGTCACTCTTCAGAGGCCCCTCTGAAATTGCCTCCCGGAGAGCGGTGAGCTCGCTGGTTATGCTCCTGCTCCATCGACAGGGCCTGGGAGTAGCCGGCACCCAGTTACGATTGATACATGTAAAGTACATGTCGGCTGCACATAGGGTTGTGTGTGAGAGCTGTTTGTACTCGAGATTGGGTAGTTGTGTGTTAAAGGGGCAGCGCATGGTGTGCGCATGTGTGTTTGGTGTGGGTGGTTGTGAATGTGTGGGGTTGTGGAGGTGGCTGCTAGGGTTTTGTGAGGTCACGGCTGTGGGTGAGGTGGTGGTGGGTGGCGGTGTTTCTGTGTGCAGCGGGGTTGTTCTGCTCTGGTGACCCGGTGATTTTGTTGTCTAGGTCTGATCGTTCAGACCCTACTGGATGCTGCCCCCTTACTCCTGGCGTCTGGCTTTGACCCCAACAGCCAGCCTTTGCCTGTTCTGGAGGGAGCTGGGAGAGTTTCCATTCTAGGAAGGGGCTCTGGGGCCCTGCTGCCCACATCAAAGCCCTGCTCCTGGGCAGGGTGACTGCTGCGTGGGAGGCCATCTAGGCCGTCCCCCAGCCTCAGGGGAGGGCTCTGCTCTACCTGGGCCTTGGCAGGTGTCCCAGCCACCCCCACTTCCCTCAGGGCCGACACACACCTGCTCTCTGGGGGTGGCAGGTCCTCAGCCTGTCTCTGTACTTCTTGCAGCCCAGGCTGTGGCCCAGGCTGGTCTTGCTCTCAGACCTGTGTCTGCAAGTCTGCCCTGGCCTCAGGCAGGGGCTTCCTGGGAAGGGGCAGGGCCTTGTCTCTCTGGCTGGGATTGTCCCTGTGTTTGTGCGTGTGCAGCAGGGGCCTAGGCCCTCTTTTCCACTGGGCAGAGAGGTGGAGCAGGTAGAACCCACTGGAAAACAGGCCAGGCAGAGGGGACTTCCAGCCTTGCTCCAGCATGTCTGGGGCTGTGACTAGGGAGGAAGAGATGTCCCAGGCTCAGGCTGTAATGTTGCTTTCCTTCTAAGACACCCCGAGTCACGTGCAACTTCTGCCCGCACAACTCTATCCTCGAATAAAGGAGGTGATGCATGAGTTTTCTAAGCTGCTGTCAGGACTCAAACACTCTGCCTGTGCACTGGATCCCACCCTCCTCCCCACCCGGGGCCTCCCTCCACTTCCTGTCTTTCCCCTCCATCACTGCTCTTTTGCTCTTCATGGGATCTTTCCCATTACAACAGATAGGCTGGTACTTCTCCATCTTAAGAACAAACAAATAAATAAATAAACCCCCTTAACCCCGCTTTTTCTAGCAGTTGCCCCCCTTTTTTTCCCATTCCTTTAGAGCAAAACTCCTCAAAAGAGTTGTCTTGATTCATTATCTCCATTTTTTTTTTTGCCTTTCTCTGCTTTCTTGAATTCACTCCAGTCAGGTGTTTGCTCCTCAGAGACCACCCAAACTGCTCTCACCAAGGTTCCCATAGCTAATCCCATGGTCAAGTTTCAACCCTCATCTTCCCCTGCACTCCCAGCTGCTTTTGGCCACCAGAACATCATACTCTCCCGGGTTTTTCTTCCCTTCTGGGCTTTCTTTCTCAGTCTCCTTTGCTGGTTCCTCCAGATCTCCCTGACTTCTAAATGCTGGGATGCCCCGGGCCAAGGGCCTAGGACTCTCTTCTCTGTCTCCATTCAGTCTGTTGGTGATGGCATCCAGTCTCAGGCTTGAAATATCAAAATTAGGCTGAGAACTCCTACTTACCTATCTTCAGCCCAGACATGGCCCTGAACTCCAGACCACTGTATGCATCTGCTTCTCAGCCTCCCCTCTGGATATCTAGTAGACATCACAACCTTACCCTGTCCCCAATTAAGCTCCTTTCTTCTCAGGGTTGCCAGATTTAGGAACAAAGAAAAAAAACAATAAAACAAACAAAACAAACACCAAACCAGATG